GAAGGAAGGAAGGAAGGAAGGAAGGAAGGAAGGAAGGAAGGAAGGAAGGAAGGAAGGAAAATGGGTGCCTGGATGTGGATAGAAATGTTAGTAGGTAAGAAGAGGAAGGATGGATGGAGCTACTAATGAAAGAATGGATGGATGAAAGGATACATGTGGTAAATAAATAGACTAAGGAAGAGAATGAAAATGAGTAGGTGTGTGGGTTAATGGGTAGAAGAAGACATAGAATAGAGATGGATCATAGAGGATGGATAGTACTTTTCAAGAAAGTGAAACTGTTAGTGAAAGGTTGCTGAACAACATTGGGTACATTGTGTTAGTGGGTTTTGCCTTTTTATACGCTAGTTATGTGATCTGTTGCCATGAGAGAGGCAGAGTTGGTAATTGAGAGTTTCTGAGAAAAAACTGAGAGAAGTTCATGAGGATTAGATAGAAGATGGAAACAATCTGATATTCAGCTGTCCTGTGGTGAGCATCAGTCAGAGTAGACTGAACTTTCCCAACTAAGCCACAATGTCCATCACTGACCTCCTTCTTATTTTCATAGCAAAACTGTCACCACCATTCTCACTCCAGGAGGGTGAGGTGGGCATCATTGATAATGAGTTCTGTAATGCCTTGTATGGGCAAAGAACAGACCAAAGCAGGAACTATGTGCATGAGGAAATGTTGTGTGCAGGGGGCCTCTCCACAGGAAAGTCCATCTGCAGAGTGAGTAAGGCAGGAGTTTGTTCTCCCCATATCTGTTTTATCTCAGTTCCTCCAAGGGTGGCTGTATTGACCTCTAGTCTCTATGGAGACCCTTCCTGTTTCATTATCTCATTTGTTTTTCTTGGGTTCATGCCTCAATAGTCTCCTTGAGGGTAGTCGTTCCTTTAGAAAATCCTAACATCAATTTTTGTTGCATATTTTATACCTTTTATTGAGGCATAGCATATATAGAAATATGTAATTTGTAATTAAATGTTTTAGTAAAGTTTCTAGTACTGACTCAGCATGTTCCTGGTACCCATTTCCCTTTTTTGCTACTAAGTTTATTTTGTCTGTACATTGTCATATGTTATCTTCTGTGAAATCTTAAGTTTCTCATTTTGTTGCTGGGTTGTCAGTTTCTCAGATCTTTATATGGTATAGATGGAAGTTCACTATTGGACATGAAGGGTTGTCTTGTAAATTATCCGAGAGAGGAAAAATGGCTAGTCTGAAGCGAAGTGGCACAACCAGGGCCTAGATGTTTGGACTCCAATTCTGTCCCCATCTCTGCAGGCTTCAGCCTCCTGAGATGACAGTCTCCATTATAGACTTGTTTCCCCTTAGGGGTTTTTCTAAAGGTATTTAACAACCCCAGTAACTCCTGGCAATGTTCTGAAGACTCCTGCTTATTGCCTGGTGATATGAGCTGCCTTTACCCAGCTAGGCGATAGACATTTTTAAAAAGACTCCCAGTTCATAGGTTGAGAAAATATTTCAGGCCAAAGTAACCAAAGGAGGAGTTAACTGGATATGCTGTCGAAGATCAGGGTTTACAGAGCTAGGATCTACACATAAGCATTAGCAGAACCAGCTAGCTTTCAAGTCCCTACATTTTACCTTCTAGAATCAGGCATGGCAAGCAAAGGGAATGTTAGGGAAGGTCCATATGTTTATATCCTGATATATGTCCTCATCTACCTGGTAAACTGACTTAGCAGCTTCTTGCTGTTCAACTCCAATGTCCCTCGCCTATATTTTGCCTAAGGGGGGTGTGTAAGGTCCTGACAGGCAATTGATATTTCTGGTCCAAACATATCTCACATTAACTACTCTCTCTCTTCAGGGTGATTCTGGGGGCCCCCTCATCTGCTACCACATCAGTGCATGGGTCCTGGTAGGACTGGCCAGCTGGGGCCTGGACTGTCGGCATCCCATTTACCCCAGCGTCTTCACCAGGGTCACCTACTTCACTGACTGGATCAGCCAAGTCAAGAGACTCACTCCACTTCCAGAACAAGGATCTGTGTCTCTTCACACAGAACTTCAATCTAGACCTCTCAAAGCTGCTGGCTCCCCACAACCCTGCAGCATCCTTATGGCTGCACAAATCTGGTTCCTGCTGCTATTTATCCTCGAAGCTCCACAGTGGGCTTTAAGATGAGCACCAGACCTTTAAGCATTCCTTACTCAGGCTTTTTTTCCTGAGATACAGCCTCCACTCCTTTGTTTACCATCTGCACCTTTTCCTTAGCATATCTGGCCATTCACTGTTACTACCCCAAAAAGCACAGAAAAACCTGCCAATAAAGCTTCATCTTTCTTCATCTCTGATTGTACTGCCTTTGTAGGGTTCCTATATCCCTTAGTAACCACACTTACCATGGAGTTAGCCATCATCCCTCAAAAGGGAGAAGATGGAGCACTCAAGAAAACTCTCCTTGAGGAAAAGGTAGGAAAATGGGGGAATGCACTACAGGGATACTGGGGAGTAAGGGTGCATCCTGGAAAGACAGTGAAGTTTATCTGGCCTTGTAGATTGTCCCTGCCTTGGGAGATGCCAAATCCTTTAGGGAAAGTAAAACTTTAAATCTGGCCTTCAAGTACAAGGGAGCAAGGGCCTCTTCCTGGGGGTAGGGCAGCAGCACTTCTGGGATTTTAAGGAAGAGGAGCCAATGCACAGGGAACCTGGGGGACTATTTTAAATGATTTTGTGGGGCTAGGGTCTATCAGGGATAGACGTGACATGTGATGATGTGGGGAACTAGATCATTGGTCAAAATAAGATAGAAGTGGCTCTAGTGCCTGGATGAAGACTAAGCATTAAGCAAACAGTGCTCGATTCTCTACTTCTGGGTGAATGAATATTCAGCATCACCCTCACCTATTCTTAGAGGCCCTATTCTACTCATGAGCTTGGTCCCTGATATCTGAAGCACAGGCCACACCTTTCTCTATCCACACTTCAATGGTTAGAACTTAACGTAACCTTTGTTTAGTTGATCAATACTAAATAATCTAGGAAGATTTAAAAATGGTGTTCTGAGCCTATTATTTCTGCAAGTGTATCCAGCACAGAGTATTTATGTGGCTCACAGGAGTTAAGAAGCCTTTCAGATGCTGCCCACTCTAGCCTTTAGAATTCTCAATAAAGAGGACAGCTCCCATTTACCCCAGGTCCACAGGAACCAAACAGCACTCATGAGGTTCAGTGCAAATCTTTCCTAGTCCTGGTGTTTTCTAAACTTCCTGGATTCTGACTGCTAGTACAGATAGATGTACTTGTGTTCACTAGCAGCAGTCTTCTGATGCTTGTACAGCAGGACTTCATCACAAAAGGATCTTGTGGACAGTCAAGAAAGTATACTCTCTAAGAGATAGTTTATAAAGTGCCTGCCTAGCATGAAAATGCCCAAGTTTGATCCCCAGCACTGCATAAACAAGGCATGATGATGAACACCTGAAATCCCTGGACTTTGGAGGTAGTGACAGAAGGATTAGAAGTTCTAGACCATTTTCAGCTACTCAGTAAAGTTTGAGTGAGCCTGAGATGCATAAAAACATGTCTCCCTTACTCCTCTCCTACCCCTCTATACACACACACACACACACACACACACACACACACAATCTTCTTAGTCCATTTTTGCTAGAGACTTTCTTGGCAGACCCTGCCCCTGCATCTGGTCTCAACTCCACTTCTACAGCAACTTATACATCTGTATTAGTATTGGACCTTGCTGTTCCAAGATCTATGGAATTAAGAACTCAAAATGATTCATCTTGAGACAAGCCTGGTCATGAGGTCTTGCATCAAAATTCATTAAGACTCTGTGATGCCAGTTAGTAGTTTCTTCTCTTTATTGAGGGCTCTAAAGCCTGGGGAGGAGATGGGCTGACAGTGGTATGCTCCACACATATTCTTCAGTCAAGGAAGCTCAGGTGGCTCAATATGAATTATGAGTTCTTTCACTGGCCCTACAGTTACCATGACAACCCCTCAGACTATTCACATTCTAAAAATCTGGTTGTCATTGGGCCTGGCATGGGGCTTTGAACCCTTTAAGCCAAACCTCAGTGTTATACTTCCTCCAACAAGACCACAACTCCTAATCCTTTCAAAGAATTCTATTCCCAGGTGACTAAGCATTCTTCAAGAAGAGCCTCAGGAAATCAAGTCATACTTCAGAAGCCCAAAGAGGAAATAAGTGAGAGCAAAACTGACTTGTCCTTTTTCCTGAGCACAAGGCTCATGTTATCTGAAAGCCATGTCACATGGAGAAAGCACATGCCCACACAGAAACACTTTATCTGAACATTTATTGGGGTCAACCAGTATTGTCAATAAATGATGGAGTACTGAAGAGATTGGGAGAGATTTTTTTCTGGGAGAAATTCAGGAAAAGCATTTTCTGTTGTAAAATTGAGATGGGCTTCCTGACACAGAGTCTACATACAACTCAGGATAGCAACTGAAGGTACCTGACCAAAATGATACCTACAGGTGATATATTGGTGAATCTCTGGCTACTGTGGGGCATGAATAGGCACTGCCTCTGACACAGTAGATTCTTCTGTAAAGCCACACATTTCTGGAACTATATGGTTCTGTCTGCCACTGTCTCCTATTCATTTCTTTTGATCAATAAAAGCATCACCTGCACCAAGCTCTCCCGTTTTTCAGGCTAGGTGGTATGCCTTCTGGGCAGATAGAAGAAAGTCCTTGTTCTGGCACTTGTCTAAGATATATGGAGGCATCCAGGGCTACTCTTGCTGTTCTATACTAAACTCTGCTGTGGACAAGTGAACCTGACACACCTGAGCATTATTCATTGGCCCATTGGAAAGGCTTTGGTCACAAATGAGTAACAGTTTGTAAGTGAGTCTATCTGAGACAGGGAGCATGTCATTTTGGGGCCCTAGAGCTTTGATGGGCTGACGGCTTTCTGATTTAAATTTCTCTTCCCTGGACACCTGACCATTAAAGTCAGATGTCTGACTTTCCTGGGGACCTGATATTCCCTTCAGGCCCTTCCAGCTAACAGTGTATTTTGTGCTTTTGTTGTATTCGCGTCTGTCCCTTTAGCACTCTTACACTGGTTGATATTCAAGATCTTAGTAGAACATGGTTGAAGGCCACTGAGCTGCCCTCCTTTACCGAGTTTTTTGGATACAAATACTTTTTTGTCAATCATCTTTGTTACTTGAGGGCCCTGGACTGTTTTGCCAGAATGTAGTCTCTTAACCAATGGCACAGAGCCAACCTCAGCCAACATTCTGGGCACGTCTGAGCTGTGTCTTTTGCCCTTTGACTCTTCCAGACTGGTGTTGTTTAAGACAAAGGATGTCTGTTGCATGACAGACTTTTTCACTGTAGATATGCTCTTTACATGCCCATCCATGTTATCAGAAAGCTTCTGGGCCTTGTGTTCTTCCTTGTTCACACAAGAGGTAAAAGGGAAAGGACCATGCCTTGATCTAGACATAGCGCTATTGATCTGACCCTCATTGGTTTCATTGAGATGCGTGGTCAAATGTTCTTTCAGAGAAGTTTCAAGTTTTTTCTGACATTGGCTCACCTCTGAGGTCCCTAAAGGTTTGCATGGAAGACTGTCTGAGTGGCATTGTAGGTTTGTCTCAAAGTCAGATTTCAGGCCATTATCTAGAGTGCCCCTAGTGTTACTCCATGTCTGCTGTTTTTGAACAGTTTCTAGGTTATATCCTCTTGTTTTCAACAGTTTCTTCTCTAATTGCTTTGCTGGGAAGTCTCCAGTGTTGTGTAGGTCTTTCCTGCCCTGTTGCTTAAAGCAAGAGATCCATGAAAGCCCATAGTTGCTTTTGGATGAGGGTGATTTTGGAAGTTCTGCCTGAGGATTCATCCATAACAGAGACTCACGGATCCTCTTGGGCAGGCCCCAGCGTTGTAGGATGAGCCTCTTTCGAAGGTGGTGCTCAAATTTCTTTCGGAGCTCATTGGTGATAAAGCAGTTTTCAAGAAAGATAGACATTGGAATATGGGTCTTGGAGGGATGACTGACCAATGAGGGATTGGGAGGTGGGGGACAAAATTTTTGCTGGGAGTTTTTGACCACAGTGGGTAAACCCCATACTCTCTCCTGTTCCTTTTTCAAGATGTTGTATTCCAGGCAGTGGATTGCAGATGGCACAAGAAGTTGTGCCTCACCCTGGGGGCTGTGAAAATACACTCCACAGATCCTAAGTTGGGAATGAGAAGGTGACAGCACTGGAATTGGGGGTTGAAGCTGAGCCTGGGGGTTGGCTTGAGGGACATGTTGGAACTGAGATTGGGACAGACTTTGGGACAAGTTATATAGTTGATTTTCAGGCAAGGGCAGAGGTGGATGGAGGGTAAGCATTGGGGAATCTGAGAATCTGTTGAAACATCCAGAGGTCAGGGAACTGTCAGTTAACACAGTAGCAATTGAGTTCATGGATTCACTGTGTAGAGAAGGGAGTCCCCAGAAGAACTGGGTGTGTTTATCCTCTAACTGATCTTCACAGGAATAAGACAACTGCTGGGGTATGTGAAGTCTCTCGTTGCTGCTCCCCAAAGGATGGGAAACTGCCAAGTTCTGATGATCAAACTCTGAGGTTTTCCCCCAAGTTTTAAGTGAATCAGTCCTCCTTTCATCTTGTGTCTCAAGTAGTGCTACAGCACCAAGGCTGGAAAAGTGAAGGTGTCCAGGCAATGCGAGGTAGGTTGTGGTGTTTCCCCATAAGTAGGCTTCAGAAGAAGGGAGGTCAAGAAGCTCTTGGTTAACCAAATGTGCTGGCTCCAACTGGGAAGAGTTGCCTGTATCTGTCTGCGGCTGGATAATTTCTGACACTGCATAACTTGAACTGCAAATGCTGTTGTTTATTGAGACATCAGCGAGAAGCTTGCTAGGGCTGCCCACCAGAGAGAGAACAGTTGTTGGTTGGAGAAGCAATTCTGTTTCCCGAGTGGCATGTTGTTGTGGAAGAGGCAAAAAGTCAAGTGGATGGGAATACTCACAGTCCAGTGGGGATTTATCATCCACAGGAGGAATAGACTCTGATAGCAGAGAGTCACCAAGTGGTAAGGCAGAACGTGTGTCTTCCAAGTACACATTCTGGTTAGGTGAAATAATGGTGGTAGACTGTAGAGAAGGCTCATATGTAGGGTCTGAAATTGGATATCCTACAGTATTTTCTGGGAGAGGAAGGGACAAAGTCAATGATGTCTCAGTCACAGAAACTGTGGAGTCCATACTGGACATAGAGGCAGCACCATCTTGGAGGGTGGTCTGAGAAAGCAGACGACTGATCTTAGCAGTTGCTCCATTACACACATCACAGAAGGGATCTGGACATAGTAGTTGCCGAAAGTTGGAGGAATCATACAGCTCACCTAGGGGGCTGCAGGAGATAGAAATTTCAATTTTGTTGTAAAGACCAGCATTGAAAAGAGCCTGTCTGCCTAGCTGTGATGGAAATACCCAAAGCTTGTAAATATCCATTCATTTATGACACTCATGGCTCCCAGAGAGGCTATAACCTCTCTCCATGCTTTTCATTTGTATACTTGTCCCTTTGGATACCCTTTCACATGACAAGAGCAAGCTGTGCTGTGCCTTGTGATGCTTTGATCCTATGGAAATGAGGCCCAGGTAAAAGGAGAATAATCACCTTTGCACAACAGACAGCAGCTTCTTCTGCTCCTGTGTTTTTCTCTGGGTAGTTCTATAACCTGGGAAAACAGAAGTATTAATTGTAGGGAAGAAAGGTAGAAATATCAAAAGGAGTCATTAGGCTATTAAAGTCTGAAAGTACCAGCAAGAAGTAGACATGCTCAAATTGTCATTAAGATGGCTCACTTTATGTGACTTTATATAAAAAATATCTTTATCTACATTGTTCCATATAATGGTACTTAAAACATCATGTAAAGCACACAACTCTTGGTTTCCTCAGAGGTGTATGGGTACCTAGGTGTCAAACATGTATATCATAACAGGAGGCAGGAATATGTGTCTCCAAAACAACCAAACAATCAACCAATCAACAAAACACACACATAGTACTCCCTGGACATATCCATTGCTCACTATATATGTGGAACCCACTGTCCTGATGGTGCATGGCAGCTTCATGTCTACAGGAATGCAGAGAGAGAATTGACTCTGGCATGTTTATCATGCTGCCTTCCTGTGAGTCTCTCCTTTGAGGACTATTTCTTGGCAGTTGATTTTCTGGCAACTTTACATCCTCAGATCATAGACCTAGGACCTTATGGAAATGACAAGATGGGAAACTGGGAAGAGGAGGTCCAGCAGATAGACACCTACCTTTAAATGACCTCCTCCTTCCTTTGTTAGCTGTGCCCTGCCACTGTGGACATATAGAAATGAACAAGGTGTTAGAATATTTTTCATGGTGTTTATCTTCTGAAGAAACCCAGATTTTATAAACCAAGAATATTATGACATTTGTTCAGTTAATGAAATTTAGTCCTTTCTTAAATTAACTTTTGGAGGTGACCTGATGCTTTTTCCCCCTTCTTTGGGAAATCAAAGGAGGATTTTGTCTGTAAGAGCCATACTTGAGATTATTAGTCAGAAATTTGAGGCCAGCAGCAACATCTCCACTCTTTTGGAGACACCGTTGTCCAGTGGGACAAAGCTCAGGTTTCAGGTTCTTCTCAGAGTCTCTAAGAAGTCAGCACCGCTTTTCTGACCAGCTCAACCTGGCCGATAGTTGGGTAAATGTACATAGAGGATGAGAATTAAGCCTGGGATGCTCTTTCAGGAGCTGATCAGAAGAAGCTATTCTCCTTTGAATAAAAGTGAAAACTTTAGTCCTCTCTGTATTCTCCCATGCCAGGACTCATGTTCTAGGACAGCAATGCTTTTTTAAATTTTTTCCTCTCCCCAGCATCCCATTTCAGTCAGGTCTCTGAGACAGACAAACTCATCCAGTACTAATCCAGTACTCACTGAGTTCTGTAGTATACCAATAAAAAATATCTCTTGGGGGTTCATGATACATCCTCACCTTTTTGATGTCCTGACTTTTCCAAGGTGGTGGGAAGAATGGTTTCAATATCAAATACCATAGGTATAGGAGAATAGTCCCTACTCCACTCAGAAAGATGTAATTGGAGCCAGTATCCAAGAATGCTGATCCAAAGCCTAACCATGGTTCAATATATCTATTCAGAAAAGAGAAGATGTTCTCCATAGACTGAGTCACATGGATGCCTGAGGTATCTGAGTTCTGAGGTTGCATGGGCCTCACTGTAGGCCTAGGTCTGCATCACAGAGCAAAGGAGAGTCATAGAGGGTTTGTGAGGACAGAGAGAAGAGTGAGCCTTCAGCTCCCCCTCCCCCTCCTCTAAGTCCCATCACTGACCTCTGCTTGAGACTGCTGCTCTGTTTCCACCCCTCCCTTCTTATCTCACTTTATGCTCCTCAGGAAACTTTCTTGTTACTTCTGTAACCTTGATGACAACCCATTCCTCTTTAGTGTTTGCAGCTCTTGAACTGGACTCACTCAGTTCTCCAGACTAGAGCATCCAAAACGATGCCTGGAAGTATTGCTTTGGGCCAGATATTTAGTCTCAGCAGCACAAATGTCCTTCCTCTAACACAGCAGTCTCAAAGCTGTGGGTTGTGACCCCCTTGGATATCAAATGATCCTTTCACAAGGGTCACATATCAGATATCCTGCATGTCAGATATTTATATTGTGATTCATAACAGTAGCAAAATTACAGTTATGAAGTAGAAACAAAGTAATCTTATGGTTGGAGGTCACCACAACATGAAGAACTGTATTAAAGGGTCACAGCATTTGGAAGGTTGAGAACCGCTGCTCAAATATAATATTTCTTCTCCACAGAATGGCTTTCCTTCTAATTCAGCTATAGAACAAAATTATTTCCCCATACATTTTCTTTTGTGAATGTACCATAGTGAACTTTGCTTCAGTCAGTGTTTAGTGTTTTTAGTTAGAGGGACAGGCTGAATCACAGAACTAACATAAATAAAACATGTGTATACAGACTTACACCTTCAAACCTCCTGGGTTAGTGGGCTATTCCATTTACTTTTGTGAAGCTATTGAAGCTTTAGGTGGATCAAGATTTCACAACTACATTCCTTTTCTAGTTTTTGTTCTCTCACCAGCTATCCTCTGAACTCTGAACATCCATCCTCCATTAACTTTCTAGGTAATTTTTTTCCTACCTGGAAATAGTGATGTGTATACATCTGCATCTGCTGCCTGGCCCTAACCCTTAGCTTTGTGCACATCAAGTGGTATTTATGTTTTGTTTAACATAAGTCTCACTTTATGGCCCAAGCTAAGCCTGAGTGAATAATGACTTTTCTTCCTTCTTCTTAGGGATTTCTATTCTCTGCCCCCTCAGAATATTCTTACTCATGCTTTAACCTTGATAAGCCTTGAGGGATATTAAATTACAAAAAGTAACCCAGTTTCAAAGCTACAAATACTATATGATTCCTGGATATAAAACTCAAAGATTGAAAACTAAATTCATGTTGCCAAGGGTCGGGAGGGAAGAAATGGGGACCAACTGTTTACTGGAACATAATTTGTTTTGTAGGATGATAAGGTTTTGGAGCTCAATATACTACAATGGGGATATTCTTAATACTGAACTGTGAACTTAGAGTTGAATGGTAATTTTAAAATTCTTTGTGTTCCACAACAATTTAAAAAGATCCTTTGGCAATATTTGGTGGAGTGAGGACCTGTACCTGCCCCCCCCCCATGTGTGTATGCCCATACATTGATGTTGGGAATCTTGTTCTGCCACTCTTATTCCTTTGAGTTACGATTTCTCATCGAACCTAGATCTAGGATGGCAGCCACTTAACCCCAATGATCCTCCTTTCTCCATCAGCTACAGTGTTAGGATTGAAGGTATGTATGCAGCCACATACAGCTTTTTATGTGGATGCTGGGATTTGAACTCAGGTAGTCCTGCTTGTTCATTAAGCATTTAACCTACTGAGTGATCTCTCTAGCCCACATCACAGTATTTTGTATTGGTTGGGACCACATGTCTATTTCTTTTCTGTTACTAACATTCTTCAATGACAAGATTTGTAATGTCTTAAAATTGGACACTTGGCGTTTTCTTTTTTAACTTGGAGAAACTTTAACATAGATATAAGTATAGAAGTAAAACCACTAATATTCAAAATATATTCTCAAATAAACACACTGGAGCAAGTCTCCCAAACTGTATATCAAAGTAAATGGTTTCATGCAGTGAAGGACATCTGCTGTACGGAAATTGTCAGGCCACTGATATGGAAACTAGAAGGAGATTCGCAATCATAGACAGCACACACCTCAAAGGATATACTGTTTTCAATCACAGCATTAGACCATCCCCCATTTCATTCTGCTTAACTTCTTTCTGAGTGGTTTGAGTATGTATAGTGTCATGAATCAAGTCTTGATATAAGAACCAATTAATAAGGCTCAGCTTATTGGCATTGTGTCTGCCTCCACTAAAGTCTACCTCTTATTTTTCTTTTGTTTCATTTCTTTTTCTTGAATAAGTCAATTTTCTTGTTTTCAGTTTTTTAAAAGGGGAGAATGGAGGTCTTAAACTAGCCTACATATTTGAGGCTGTAGCTTGGTCTTCTGGCTTTGATAATGTTCTACATAAGTTTTGATTCTCAGACATCCTCATCTTTTGCTGTCCAGCCCTTTCTTGTTCATGAGGAAAATATATACTTCAAACAAGAGTGGAAACAGATGGAATGATAAACCTGCTTCCCTCATTTCCAAGGTCTTTATTCATCACACACAAATAGAAACCTGCCCTTTAAGCCCAAGCTTCAATATGGCAAAGAAATGTCACATTCACAGAGTGATCAGAGTAAGGTCCATGAACAATGGCAATTGGAAAGAAATCTTTTGAAAGGTAAATGACAAAGAAGGATATCAAAGAAAATACCAGATATATCCTATAGGTCCAATCCGTAAGAACAAGATGATGCTTTAGGATTAAGTATATTCACAAATCTACTTGGTATTGCCCTGAGGAGATTCAGTGGAATGAAGAGGATAAAGACTCTAGAAGACTAGGAAACATGTAGACATAGGAAGTACAAAGGTCCATTCTAGATAACTTGTGTACTAAACTTTGGGAACAAAATGAATGGTTATGGAATATGCTTCATAGATTCAAACATGACAGGTAATATAAGAGCTAGATATTTTGTATCTGGTCATATGTGGTAAATTAATTGTAACTATAATGAAAGCATTTATGACCCACTCTAACCAAGGGGCAAATGGTACAAGAAAGGGAAAGAACACTCAAATTACAATTTAATAAGGAAGTAGAATTCTCAAGAGTCATCTGGATTTCTCAGATCCTGTTCTGGCAGTAGGAGTTAACTTGCAGGAAAACATTTCTTTGGTTCCTAAAGGGTTTAGGCAGGCTTTATAGGAAGTGTAACTTTTTTAGTAAAATAATCAACAAAAGCTATTGTTGCAGGAAAATGCTTTTCACAATTAATATTGGGCATGGGTTAGCTCATCTATTACAAAATCTTTCTCCTGTAAGTTCTGGACACTGATGTGCTGGAGAAGCTGGCCCAAATTCTTCTGACTTGGATTCCAGCTTCCTGGGGTTTCATATGAGGGTAAAAAGAATAATTGAAATTTATGGACTTATGTGTATGTATAGCAGAGGGCAGTATCTTATGACTGACTGGGTTAGAAATGAGGGTAGATTTCAGAACTGTGGAAGACTTGACAGTGACAGGAATCTCCAACCCCTACCTGCCCTGCTTTTTCCTTGCTTTGTAACCTTGTGTTAAACTTTACTGACCTTTAGCTCCCAATTTGGAAATGAGATGTACTATACATCTGAAAGGCACACAAATCCTGAATGCATTACATAATGTTGGTGGACTGTGAACTCCCAACACTAACTTAAAACATGCTGCAGAGACTTAGCTTATTTGTATGCCTTGTTAGGACAGTGAAATAGGAACTGGTTAGCATGGTATGGGTGCTGATTATTTGGAAGCTTTCTGGTAGGGAGAAAATATAACCTGTTATCCTGGGAAGCTTGAGGTGCCAAGCATGTTGCAGATAACATTTAAAGGACAAATCAGGTTAGTTCTGTGAAGTAGATATTTGTGCTCCACAGATGTCATCTTTGGGAAGAATCTGACCTTCTACTCTTCACCACTGACAAAGATGATCTCCTGAGTGAATATATTCACTGTCTTTTTCTAATCATAAACAAAGAATAGATGGTTATTTATAAAAATCCATTATATATATAAAGGTCTCCTGCACCATGAGCCTACTATTGACACATCTGGTCTGGCCAAAGGGCTCATGACTCCTCACATTTCCCATATGACAATATAAGCTTGTTAGTTTGTTTAGAAAAGGGTAGTGAGGCTATTTGCTGCTGTTGGAGGAGTTGGGTAGCTTAATAGATGTTAGTCTATCTCCTAAGTGATTGTTGCAGGATGTTTGATCATTCTGTGAATACTGAGATTGTGTTATTTATTGAAAAAACAGCTGATTTTAGTTGTGGTGTGGCTCAGCCTTGGCACACATTTTTAATCCCTCTGGCTGGAATACAGGCACACCCTAGTATACCTTTAATCCCAAACAGTGATGGTAAAGTTAGTTTGTAGAAGGAAGCACTCATATTTGAAAGGGATGTCTAATTGAGTATAGCAGATGAAGTGACTAATCTGAGAAAGATTTAACGAATAGGATATGCCAAACTCTCATGAGAAGAGAGAGAGAAAAAAGAGGCTACTTAAGAGAAAACAGCACAGAAAAAAAGGAAAGAGAAAGGAAGCAGTTTTACTGGGACAGTTGTACTGAGACAGGTTATAGAAAGAGAACAAGTGATAGAGGTGAGGACATAATGAGCCAGAGAATGAGCCAGAAGATTAGAATAGATTGCCAGAGTTAGTTTGAGGCCAGGCTGAGAGAAGCCAGATTGAATCAGTTAGCTTGGAGAGGAGTTTGAGCCAGGACAGCTAAGTTGAACCAGCTAGAGTTTCAGAAAGAGCTAGAAAGGGATGAGTTTATTCAGCAGCAAGTCTTAGAAGCTGAAAACATTCTAGGCATAGATAGGATTGTATGGAGGCTAGAAGTTTCCAGGACTAGGCCTAGGTTAGCAGATTGAGGCAGTAAACCTCAGACAACATTTATATCAGGCAAATAAAAGTTACATGTATATCTG